AGGAGAGGGGGAGGGGAGGGGAGGGGAGGGGAGGGCCCCGGCCGGCCCTGAGCCCAGGTGGCTGGGCTGCTGTGGGCACCCACTTGCCCTTCCTGTGAGCCCCACGCCCGGGTGTTGGAGCCACAGGTGACTTGTGGTGAGAATCTGTGAAAATTCAGCTGTCACACTGGACCTGGTCAGAGGTGTTTAGGGCATGGTTTCCCAGAACACATGCAAGTGACCTGGATGTGGTGAAGAGAGACAGAGAGACAGAGAGAGACAGAGACAGAGAGAGACAGACAGACTGAGAGAGAGAGAGAGAGACAGAGAGACAGAGACAGACAGAGACAGTGAGGACAGCCAAATCCAAGCTTTGCGTCCATACAATGAATTGGGCAGCTGCGGCGGGCGGCGCTTGCGGCAGGTGCAGACACGCGCTTGTGAGCAGCTACACGGAGGCGCTAACAGTCAGGGATGGAGTCAGAGCCTGCTGGGGAGTTTTGTTTGTTTGTTTGTTTGTGTTGCCAGTCCTGGGCTTGAACTCAGGGCCTGGGCGCGGCCCGGAGCGGCTTTTGCTCAAGGCGAGCGCTCTGCCACTGGAGCCACAGCGTCACTTGCAGGGTTTTCTGTGCGTGTGGTGCTGGGGAATCGAACCCAGGGCTTCATGCATGCGAGGCCAGCGCTCTACCACTTGAGCTACAGCGCCACTTCCGGTTTTCTGGTGGTTTATTGGAGATAGGAATCTCACAGTCTTTCCTGCCCAGGCTGGCTTTGAACCGCAATCCTCAGATCTCAGCCTCCTGAGTAGCTGGGATGACAGGTGTGAGCCACTGGTGCCCGGCCTCAACTCCTTTTTATATCATGAGTATGAAGGGGGAAGTTACCGTTGGTCACATTATAAACGGGCCGGTGCTGTGTAGTACACAGTCTTAGTATCTGCGCCCAGTTTCCTCGCTTTCTGCTCTGGCACCTGGCACAGAAGCACTTGTGAAATTCATCTCGAGGCTGTGGCTGAAGCCTTAGGCCTCCGAAACTTCACCTCATTTTTGTTTAATTTTTCAGATAGTTTAGTTTGTGTGTGTGCACGCACGTGTGTTTGGTGTGTGTGTGTGTGTGTGTTTCTGGTCCTGGGGTCTTGAACTCAGGGACTGAGCGCCGTCCCTTCATTTTTCCAGTTTTTGCTGACAAATTGGAGATGAGAGTCTCAAAGACTTTTCTGCCCAAGGGGCTTTGAACCGCTGTCCTTCAGCCCCAGCCTCCTGAGTTGTGAGACACTGCTAACTGGTGTTTACATACATTTTTTTTGGGGGGGGGGAGTCGGTCGTGGGGCTTGAACTCAGGGCATGGGCGCTGTCCCTCAGCTCTTCAGCTCAAGGCTGGTGCTCTACCACCTGAGCCACGGTGCCACTTTTGGCTTTTTGGAGGTTCACTGGAGAGGAGAGTCTCCTGGACTTTCCTGCCCGGGCTGGCTTTGAACCGTGATCCTCTGATCTCGGCCTCCAGAGTGGCCGGGGTGGCAGGCCTGGCTCAGGTATCTGTGTTTGATTCTGAGCTGCAAGGAAGGAAGGTGATTGGTGATCGGGAAGTTGGGGGGGGGCACTGGAGGAAGTCCCTCGGGGCAGAGGGCTCACCCCGCCTCACCCCCAGCCTCTCCCGGGAAAGGAAATGGTCAAACCCTGAGCGGGCAAGTGCTACGTGTGCAGGAAGGAGAGGTGGGCAAAGGCTAGATCATCTGCGCTCACACACGTGTGCACCAGTATCTCACACACACACACACACACACACACACAGAGGTAACCTGACACAAAGAGCAGGAGAGTGAGTCACAGATTCCACCATCAATAAGACACTAGTTGGCACCGGCAGTCACGCCTGTCATCCCAGCCACTCAGGAGTCTGAGATCTGGGGATCACGGTTCAAAGCCAGCCCGGGCAGGAAAGTCCAGGAGACTCTCCTCTCCAATGAACCTCCAAAAAGCCAGAAGTGGCACCGTGGCTCAGGTGGTAGAGCACCAGCCTTGAGCTGAAGAGCTGAGGGACAGCGCCCAGGTCCTGAGTTCAAATCCAGTGACCAACCAAAAAAAAAGTAATACATTTAAAACCTTAAAAGTCTAAGTTTAATTAAAAAATACTGGCGTAATTTGCTTATTATATAAAATTATAAGACTCTGATCAAATAGCCAAAGTGCTGTAGAAACGTTTTATTAGGAAGGGTTTAAAAAGTGGCGTGTTTGGGTCACACAGGGGTTCTTTTGGTCTGCTGGCTCTTATGCTGGCCCTGAGACTTGAACTCGGGACCTAGGGGCTGCCCCTGAGGGTTTTTTTTCCCCTTTTTTCTTTTTCGTTTGCTCAAGGCTGGTATTCTTCCGCCGGAGCCACAGCTCCGCGTCCAGCTTTTTTGGTGACTGGTTGGAGACCCGAGTTTCATGGGCTGTCTCCGTGGCTGGCTCCGAATGGCGCTCCTCAGCTCTCATCCTCTGAGTAGCTGGGATTACAGGCGTGAGCTACCGGTGCCCGGCTCCCTGATCACCTCTGCATGACACTCACAGGTATAATCATTACTCAGCGAACATGTCCTAGGGTAGATGTAACTTCCTTTCAGGTAAGGGCAGTGATGCTCCGTCCACTCTTGAACATCTACTCTGCATGAAAACAAAAGAGCAAATCGTTTCTGGAACAAACTGAGGTTTAATGAAGGCCGATGGCTTTCCATTATAACCCAGTAAGAGCCAAAGGAACTATGAACCCCTGTCTAGACCTAACGTGCTTGTGTTACATAGGGTTAGGTTTATAAGTAGGCACAAAAGTATGAACAGACCAGATTCAGGTGGCTCACGCCTATAATCCCAGCTACTCAGGAGGCTGAGATCCGAAGTCAGCCCAGCCGGGCAGGAGAGTCCGTGAGACTCTGATCTCCAATAAACCACCAGAAAACCGCAAGTGGGGCTGTGGCTCAAGTGGTAGAGCGCCCGCCTTGAGCTGAAGAGCTGAGGGACAGCGCCAGGCCCAGAGTTCAAGCCCCATCACCAGAAAACAAACAAACAAACAAAAACCCCAACACAAAAAGCTATGAACAAACTTCTCTAAGGAGTACATCAATTCAAATTGTAAAAGTCACAAGTGTAGGATTAGAGATTGCTATAGTCTATTACTATTCCTATTGCCAGAGAGATTGCTGTAGTCTACTGCTGTACTCTATCCTGACGTTCGATGTTGCTATTAGATGATAGATTGGTTTTTTCCTAATTGTTTTTTTACATGCACTTCTCAGATATCATAAAGGCTTTGTGTTCTGGAATGCTCCTTGTACGCTGTGCGCAGGTCAGTTCCTCCCGCAATCCCTCCACACTGAGCAAAGTACCGTTTGTGCAAACCCTGGACTCACACGGTCTGTGTCCCCAGCCTCTCAGCCGTCCAGAACGCGGTCCTATTCCTCCGCACCCCCTCGAAGGATATCCATCCTTTTATTTCCAAGGTGGATAAGATTTCCTAGTGTGACAAAAAGAAAGTCACCACACAGAACTGTTATTTTTGTCAGTCCCAGGGCTTGAACTCACAGCCTGGGCACTACTGTCTTTTGCTCTCAAAGCTGGCGCTCTACCACCTGAGCCACAGCACCACTTCCAGTTTGTGCTGGTTTATTGAGAAGAGTCTCGAGGACTTCCCTGCCCAGGCTGGCTCTGAACTGGGATCCTCCTATCTCAGCCTCCGGAGTAGCTGGGATGACAGGCGTGCGCACTGGCGCCCAGCAGGGACAGATAATCTTTGTAGATCCCACCCTGTCTCACTCACCAGCTCCTCCTCCGAGTCTATCCGCAGAAGATGAGAATTCAGCTCTGCACATGCCTTGGAGCTCGCCTCCCATGTTGTCCATTGATCGAAGACCTGATAGGAACTATTTCCAAACCTGAAGCAGCTCCGTGCGGAAGGATGGCAGGAACATTCTAGAAAACGTAAAGATGTCACAGGAGTGCTTGTGGTTTTTTTCCTTTATAAGTTCCTGGGGTTGGAGCGCAGGGCCTTGTGTTCTTCCTGCTTAGCTGTTTCACTCCAGGCTGGCGTTCGACCGCCTGAGCCACAGCTCTCCTTCAGCTTTTTGCTGGTTCACTGGAGATAAGAAGCTTATGCGTTTTCCTGGCCTGGGGTGGTTTTGAACTTTGTTTTGTTTTTGTTTTTGCCAGTCCTGGGGCTTGAACTCAAGGCCTGGATCCCGTCCCTGAGTCTCTCTGTGCTCAAGGCTAGCGCTCTACCACTTGAGCCACAGCGCCACCTCTGGCTTGTGTCTGTGGTACTGAGGAATCGAACCCGGGGCTTCATGCACACGAGGCCAGCACTTCACCACGGAACCACCTGCCCAGCCCTGCTTTTGAACTTCGATCCTCAGATCTCAGCCTCCGGAGTAGCCAGGACGATATTTGTGAGCCGTCAGCATCCAACTTCTGGCTCATTTTTAGCCCACATGAGAATCTGTATTTCTGTTGTGATTCATGAGCTTGTGGATTTGGGAAAAATTATTTTCTGAGTGGTCAAAAGTACTGAAGTGAGGCCGGGCAGGTGGCTCCGTGGCAGAGTGCTCGCTTAGCATGCATGAAGCCCCGGGTTCCATTCCTCAGCACCACAGACACAGAAAAAGCCAGAAGTGGTGCTGTGGCTCAGGTGGTAGAGCGCCAGCCTTGAGCCAGAGCAGCTCAGGGACAGCACCCAGGCCCTGAGTTCAAGGCCCAGGATTGGAAATAAGAAAAAAAAAACAAGTATTGAAGTGAATTTTACGAAACACTTACCCTCATTTTTAGGGGAAATTTGAGGATCAAGTAAGGCTTTTCTAGTTTGTTCTCCTTGTCTAGAAAATACTGTAAGGGGAAAAATAGAAAGAAGGCAGTAAGTCATGAGTCCTATTTTAGATGTGATGGTCGCGGCTGGGAAATTCATTCTCCATACCAGGCGAAGTGAGAACAATTTCTGTGTGTGTGTGTGTGTGTGTGTGTGTGTGTGTGTGTGTGTTTCCCAGTCGCGGGTCTTGAACTCAGGGCCTAGACACTGCCATTGAGCTTTATGTTGCTCAAGGCTAAAGCTTTTACTACTTAAGCCACAGCTACACTTGGGCTTGGGTGGTAGTTAGTTGGAAATAGAGTCTCACGGACTTTCCTGCCCAGGGCTGGCTTTGAACCACGATCCTCAGATCTCGGCCTCCTGAGTCGCTGGGATGACAGGCGTGAGCCACTGGTGCCCGGGAACTTCTGAAGGACTTACAGCGTGTGAGCAGGACAGCCACTGTCCCCATCAACAGGATGCAGGAGGTGGCCAGGATTCCGGCCGTTAATCTCCAGGGGGCTGAGCGCGGGGCTGAGGGCGGAAGCAAACACACAATCATCTCGTGTTCTTGTTTCCCAGAGGTCAACAGCGTGTGCCGCAGCCCAGGACAGCTCCTGCGCCCCTGGTTTGCAGCGTGTCTGCCTGGCGCTCACAGAGTGAGCCTCACCCCAAACCCCAGCTCCTGCTGGAACTCAAGATCCACTTAGCGGCTGGAATCCCAGTGACTCAGGAGGCTGAGAGCTGAGGATCGTGGTTCAAAGCCAGCCTGGGAAGGAAAGTCTGCGAGATTCTGATCTCTAATAAACCACCAGAAAACCAGAAGCGGTGCTGTGGCTCCAGTGGTAGAGCGCCCGCCTTGAGCTGGAGAGCTGAGGGACGGCGCCCAGGTCCTGAGTTCAAGCCCCCCCCCCCAAAGCTCTTATGTATGTTTAAACAACATCCAGCCGCAACTCCATACCTGGGCGTGTGTGCAGATCACGCCACGTTCCCCTGCGCGGGTGCTGATCGCCCCGTTTGCCGGGCTGGCTCTCTGGGGCTCTGTGAAACTTCAGCTCTACATAACTGATCTGCTCTTCGCTCGGTGCTGCCCGGCTCGGGTTCATCTTGCCTTGTCTTCGCTTCTGCTGAGAGTTCGCAAACTTGATTTCTGCGTAGTTCACTTCTGGGAGGCTGGTTTCTGGTTTGTTCCGGGACATTTTGGCTCGGTTGTGCTGGCTTGGCATCATCTCAAGAATGCCAGATAGGGGGCCTCTTCTGATTAAAAAAATTTTTTTTGCAATCAGACTACACAGAGAATTAAAACGAGCGATACAACCCCGAACCAACGCCCAGATGGGAATAGCCAAGCAACTTGATGCATGACTTCAAAGGAAGAACCAAGAGGAAAAACACGCCTAACTTGCTTTCTGAACTCTGTACGTCTAAAACACAGCGAGTCCTGGGGCTCGAACTCAGGGCCTGGTGTGGTCTCCAGGCTTCTTTCGCTCAAGGCTGGTGCTTTACCACGTCAGCCACAGCTGTCTCCGGGTTTTGGTAGTTCATTGAATGATCCGAGTCTCACAGGTTTTCCTGCCCAGGCTGGCTTTGAATCAGGACCCTCAGCGATCAGCCTCCCCGGGGAGCTGGGGTTACAGGTGTGAGCACCAAGGCCCAGCAAGAACACTCTATAGTTTAACTGACTTGTTGTTGCTGTTGAAATGGCAAGTGATTGAACTATAACAGTATCCATCAGTGTTTCAACAAACCAACCTTCCTGACGGTTCACCCTCCTCCACAGAATTCACCTCCGTAAATATCAGACACAGAACCGAAGACACGCAATACTGGTTTTGATGACATAGACGAATGCCATAGTAATAATAAAAATTAACAATCATAATGGTGATGATGATGATGATGGCGTCATTTCCCCTTACAAAACCAGTCATTATTATTGCCCAAGTTGGATGAAAGTGTAGAAGAAAAAGTAGGTATCATCGGTGAAGAAATTTCTGGAAGCATAGTGAAGCCAAAAGAAAATTGCAACACCCAAGAAATTAATCTTCCAAAGAAGCTTCCCATGCACCCCCCAGTACTGTTTATCAAATAAAATGTAAAAAACACCATGTATGTATCAAACCTCGGCCGCTGCCACGCTCCACAGCTTACATTTCAGACTCTGTCTGGTATGATCTGAATCGGGGGCCAGGCACAGGGCAGCTACCTGTATGTGAAAAGAAGCTTTCTACTGTACTCACCCACCAGCTGCGTCAATGTGAATATTGCTGTAAGAGGAAAAACAGCAGACCGTGAGGGAAGAAAAGAAAAATAACATAAGATGTTGCTGGCCCGGCCTTGCTGGTCCAATTTCCAGGCGAGGTGTCAGATCAGAGGAGTCTGAAGAAGGGCCGGCCGGTGCCGGGCATCCATCTTGAAAGAGAGCAGAAAGAGATTCTCTTCCGGGATTCCTGCTCCCCCAAACCCCGAGCAGTGAGCCCCGCTGGCAGCTCCCACCGTGTTTGCCGCTTGAAAAGTGCCTCCTAAAGGTTAGAACTTTCTGGTTAATTTCGCAGACTGCATGGAAACAAATTCCAGGAAATGGAAATAGGGGTGTTTTTTTGGTTGGCGTGGGTGGCGAGGGTGGTGGTGTTTGACTTTGCTTTGATTTTTGTTGTGGTGGTGGTTGTTTCCTGGGATTTCTGTCTTGTTTGGTGGTGTACCTGTCTCTTGGGGGACAAAAGGGGGTCACAGAAATGATGCAGATGCCCTCTGGACGTGGTGTAGACAATGAACTCTACAACTTGTGGGTGGGGAAGGAGAAAGGGGGAGAGAGCAAGGGAAGGGACCACTGTCCAAAAAGAAATGTGCTCATGACCTGATGTCGGTCCCCTCTGTCCATCACCTTTACAGCAACAAGAAATTTTATATATATATATATATATATATATATTTGCTGAACAATTTTTATTGTTCAAGTAACATGGAAAAGAAGATTCCCACAGATTCTGCTTTTGCTTTGATGCCACACAAATCTATGCATGTGTAAATGTGTCAGCGTGGAAAGTTCATGTGCACTAGTACTGCAGATTGAATTCTTGCTTGTTTTTTTTTTTTCACTCAGGGCTTCTAGCTTTTGCTGATCGATTGGACATAGGAGTCTCTGGTTCATCTGTCCAGGCAGGCTTGGAACTGTCTGTGATCCTCAGATCTCAGCCTCCTGAGTAGCTGGGAATGCCCAGCAGCTTGGCCTGCCTTTTGTAAAGCTTTCCTGGCGAATTAGAAGGAAGGATTTGCAGTGCAAGTTGATTCAGTGGAAGTTGCTCTGTAACATTCCAGTCTCCTTACTGTGGTGTAATCTCATCTAGTGTGGTAGAATAACTATGCGGTTTAACGTCAGATAAACAATTCCAATAGAGCACCATTGGAACAAAGAATTGAGATGATCAAAATTAAAAATTAAATAAAACCCAGAATGTCAGAACCTGAGATGTGAGGATTGAAGTTCAGTGCCAGCCCAGGCGGAAAAGTCCACGAGACTCTGGTATGTCCATATGAACCCGCAAGAAGCCACAAGTGGAGCTGTGGCTTAAGTGGTAGAGCACCAGCTTTGAGCACTGAAGCTTAGAGACAGCACCCAGGCCACACACACACACACACACACACACACACACAACCAGAGCTGGAGTCAAAGCTCACATTATTGTTTTTCAAGAGACAGCAATACCATAGTGTTATAGACACAATTCTCTCCCCAAGTTCACATTGAAAAGAATGTTCCAGACCAGGTACTGCCAAGGCTTTGTCTGTTTGGGTCAAAACATTGTTCTCACATCCTCCTCAATTTCTCAGAGTTGTTTTCTGATCCCATGTTGTCCATTTTTGCACTCAGAACCTGTCAGCCTGGAGCTCATGGTGTACAACCCCCTCTTCCAGCCCAGAGAATAATACATCACAGTAGAAGTCTGCTTTTCTTCCCTTCATCCAAGAACAAAGCAAAAGCTTAGCTTTATATGGATGTTATATGCACGTATGCAATTTCTGCACAAAATTACACATGCAAATTTATACCGACTGAATTTGCATATGCAAATTTACACCGATTGAAACCCTGGGGGTTGTGTAGATGCGATTTAATATGAATGTGAATATATAAGGGTGTGGATTTGCATATGCAAATCGATGTGGATACAGTTTGCATATGTAAATTTGCATGCATGTAAAATGGTGTGCAAATTTACGTGTGTAAACTTTACATATGTAAATACATATAATATATAAAATATACCTACACAAAAATAACTGATTCAAAATGAACACAAGTCCTCGGTTTCCTTCAGTTGGACCTCCAGGTCAGATTCTTCCTGTTCTCTGTCTGTCACAGTACTGAGCACGTTGGTGCTGTCAGGTGAACAAAGCCAGCTTCCAGCCAGTCCCTGTCACAGAGCTGGGACACGCTATGTGTTTTGATGGCTCACTCCGGTCATCCCGGCTACTCAGGAGGCTGAGATCGGAGGATCACAGTTCAAAACCAGCCTCGGCAAAAATATTCGTGAGACTCTTATCTCCAGTTAACCACCAAAAAAATCAGAAGTGGAGTTGTGGTTCGAATGGTAGCGTGGCAGTCTCGAGTGCAAAGCTAAGAGACAGTGCCCAGGCCCTGAGTTCAAGTCCCAGCCCTGGCAAAGAAGGAAAATAGTGCTTACCAGGTCTGTGTGTGTGTGTGTGCGTGGGCGCACACACGTGTGCCAATCCTGGGGCTTGAACTCAGGGCCTGGGCGCTGTCCCTGAGCTCTTTCACTCAAGGCTCTACCTCTTGAGCCACAGCTCCACTTTGTGGTTCACTGGAGATCAGTCTTTGCTGCCAGACTGGCTTTGAACCTGATCCTCAGACCTCAGCCTCTTAACAGCTGGGATCCCAGGCCTGGGCTATGGGCACACAGCATGGACTTAGCAATCTTACCAATCAGTGTGTTTTGCTAGCATTATGTACGTGACAGTCCACTGATATTCTCAATAGTAGTATTTTTTTCTGAGCAGCAAAAACTTTGTTGTATTTATGTATAATTTTTTTTTGGTTGGTCGTGGGGCTTGAACTCTGGGCCTGGGCGCTGTCCCTCAGCTCTTCAGCTCAAGGCAGGCGCTCTACCACTTGAGCCACAGCACCACTTCTGTTTTTTTCTGCTTATGTGGTGCTGAAGAATCGAACCCAGGGCCTCGTGCATGCAAGGCGAGCGCTCTACCACTGAGCCACCTGCCCAGCCCCTATGATGTTTTAGTTAAGTAGTGTACAGAGTCTCCATTCAGCCCGTTCACCTAGAGGACAGTACGTATTGACCAGGGGCATCTTCCATGGTTCACCCTTCACCCGACTCCACGCGCTTCGTTTTCAAACTTAGCAGAGCCTGGAGTTGTTTGGCTTGTGCTTCTGCCATCTTGTGGGTAAACTACAAAATTACATGACAGGAAAATGTGAGCAAAAGACCATCCGGGGAGTGTCAGAGGAAGTGGACAAACCCTTCCGCTCGGCCCCAATTCCTGGAGTCCCTCCCTCCTGGTGGGCAGGGCCTTCCCCAGACCCAAGTCACCACTGCAAACCTAACGAGGGCTTTTGAAAATGGAAAACAATCCTAAGGCCCAGACGCAGAACTATCCACCTGCTATAAAGCACACTGCACCCACCCATGGCCAGTGGCTTCTCCCAGGGCCGCCTCTCCCCCCTCCCCCCCTACTCCTTTCCTCTCTCCCTTTTTCCCTCTGTCCTTCCTATTCTCTTTCTGAGAGCAACTCTACCTTTGCCATGACTCACTTCAGCCTTGTGGTTCTCCTCTGTCACTGGAATTACAGGTGTGCGTTACCACAGCAGCCCTTTCATGGATGGAAAGCCGGGGGTATATTTCTACGTGTAGAGACAGCAACATTTTCTTATCTTTGAATCGGGTAAGCAGCCTCGCACACGTGTGTGCGTGAGCATGCACACCCACACACTCACTCGGCATTTCCTGTTTTGTTAGCGCAAAGTTTCACCCGACAGAAATTTTTATTTACAGAATTTAATATGGGTCCAGGGTCTGTCTAACCCACTTGGGCCCAAGTAAGAAAATCCAGTCGGCTTGTTTTCTTATTTTCATGTTTTCAGTTCACATACAAAAGAATAGATTTTGTTCCACATTCATAAAAAAATCCCCAAATTAAAAAAAAAATACCCTCTCTCACCCATCCCCTAATTAAATACACAAACATCTTCAAACACACGGTCTAAATGGGTTTGATCTTGAAGTGTAATCCGATGAGACTGAAAACCAAGCATTTCAAGTCCTGTACCAGGTAGTAAAATACTCGGAGGCCTTCCGGGTCCCTGCGGCAGAAAAAGCCAAACAGTGTTTTATAAATTCCTAAAGGAAATAAATTTAAAAAGAATCTGTAACAACAGAATCTTGATGCCACCCGGGGGCTCTCAGGTGCGTCTTTGCTAGATCGCTTCTTTAGGATTCGTTTTTAACGTGTTCAAGTCCTTATGGAAAGCTCTATTTACGCAGAAAACAATAGCAATCTTGCTAATTCTGTAATGCCACCAACCTTACACAATAGGTTTTTCCCATTTTTCCCACAGCGAAAATAATTTCATGTACTTTTCAACTATTAACTTTTCCATAGTACTAAAAAAAAAAAAGTCGCTATTATGAATTTGAACCTTTTAAACCTGTCTGATACTTGGATTCTTTCTAATTTTACACTGCCTCTGTGAGTGGCTTCATACAAGAAAGCTTTTCCAATATTTGACAATCTTTTCTAGAATAGATACTCAGAAATGAAATTACCATAAAAGATAAATACATGTATTAACAGTTTTTGAAGCATATTACCAAGTTGTATGTACCAAAAACAAAACAAAACAGTGTACCAATTTACAATCTCGACAGGGTAGGAACTGTAGGAGAATGAATCTCTTCTTCCTTTTTTTGCTAGTCCTGGGGCTTGAACTCAGGGCCTGGGCACTGTCCCTGAGCTTCTTTTGCTCAAGGCTAGTGCTCTACCATTTGAGCCACAGCTCCACTTGTGGCTTTTTCTGAGTCTGTGGTACTGAGGAATCGAACCCAGGGCTTCATGCATGCGAGGTGAGCACTCTACCACTGAGCCACCTGCCCAGCCCTGAGCACAGTTCTAACCTAACCCGAATCCATGATGTCAAGTTAATGTACTCACTTTGACTGGTTTACGTCGATAAGAGAACCGATTTTGGATGTGGTAAAAGAAATGTGTTCGTCTCCAATCACAATTTCAAGCTCCTAAAAACAAGCACAGAAACACTTGGAGCAGGGTTCATGGACAACCTCCCTCCCAGCTCCGGCCAGGCCCAGGCCCCCACGTGGGCCACGAGCGACCCCCGACCCCCAGCCCCGGCCAAGCACAGGCCCCCACATGGGCCACGAGCGACCCCCGACCCCCAGCCCCGGCCAAGCACAGGCCCCACGGGGGCCACGAGGGACCCCCGACCCCCAGCCCTGGCCAAGCACAGGCCCCACGGGGGCCACAAGGGACCCCCGACCCCAGCACACCAGAGAGGAGGAGGAGAGAAAAAGGACATGGAAAGACAAAAAGACCAAATGTAAACGTAAAACAAAACCTCCCATGCTGGCTGGAGAATCACCCGCACTCCAGGGCCCCACGTGCTTTCTAGAAGCCCGGGTGAGAATGAACGACACAGAAATGTCTCTGACTGGGTCAGCACACACCAGATTGCTTTAAAAACATGGTATAAAAGCAATTACAGGAATGTAGAGGTCCTAAGCAGGTTTCCTTTTCTATGAGATTCTAGAAGTCACACTGCCGCCCACGTTCCCACGCACCGGGGCTGCTGTGTGGGGTCCGATGCAGGGGCAAACACCCCGCAGTTCCTCAAACAGCTTCAGGAGGGGCTTTATTTATAATTCATTCACCCACTTGTTTTTCTGCTGGTACAGGGCCTTGAACTCAGGGCCTGGGCGTGGCCCTGGCTGTTTTCTGCTCCAGGCTGGTGCTCTACCACTTTGAGCCACCACTCTAGTTCCGGCTTTTTAAGGTTCATTGGAAGTAAGAGTCTCATGGACTTTGCTGCCTGGGCTGGCACTGAACTATGATCCTCAGATCTCAGCCTCCTGAGGAGCACGGCTGACAGGCCTAGCTAAAGTGGGTTTTGGGAGGCTTGTAATTGTCGAATCCAAAATTCATTAAGTGTAGGAAAACACAGCTGACATTAATAACCACGAAGTGGTACTATGGAGATTTCACTCAAACGATCGGTGTTCTTTTGGCTCAGGCACGAAGTCCCAGCGAGTCAGGACGTGCAGCTCCGGAAATCAGTTTGAAGCCAGAATGAGTTTAAAAAAAAAAAAAAGTTTTAAGAGACCTCATCTTTTTTTCTCTCTCTCCAAGTATTGCTTCACTGACATTAAGTGGTTGCATCAAGGTCACAGTAGCATAGTTATACTGAGCTGAAGAAGAGACCCCATCTTAAACAATGGTACAGCGGAGTATGCCGGTCATCCTAGGAAGCTAGGAAGTCCGGGCTTGCCCGTCATCCTACGAGGCCTCTTCTCAGAAATAATCCACACAGAAAGGGGCTGAGCAGCCGGGCTCCAGCAGCTCACGCCCGTCATCCTAGCTACTCAGGAGGCTGAGGTCTGAGGATCATGGTTCAAAGCCAGCCTGGGCAGGAAAGTCCGTGACATTCTTATCTCCAATGAACCAGCAAAAAGCTGGAAGCAGAGCTGTGGCTCAACGTTTAGAGAGCCGGCCTTGAGTGGGGATGGGGGGAGGGGGAGAGCTGGGGAGCAGTAAAGAAGGCCTTGAACTCTAGCCCCAGGACTGGCACAAAATAAAAGTGATACGATCTACAAAATAAAACAGAAGTGACACAACCTATACAATAAATACTGCTGTTATCTCTGCCTTCCCTGAGCAATGATCCTTTTTTGTTGTTGTTGTTGTTTTTTATCAATTGTAGGGCTTGAACTCTGGGCCTGGGCGCTGACCCTCAGCTCTTCAGCTCAAGGCGAGCGCTCTACCACTTGAGCCACAGTGCCACTTCCAGTTTTCTGGTGGTTTACTGGAGATAAAAGTCTCAGAGCCGGGGCTGGGCAGGTGGCTCAGTGGTAGAGCGCTTGCCTTGCATGCCTGAGGCCCTGGGTTCGATTCCTCAGCACCAAAAAAGCCGGAAGTGGTGCTGTGGCTCAGGTGGTAGAGCGCTAGCCTTGAGCTGAAGAGCTGAGGGACATCGCCCAGGTCCAGAGTTCAGGCCCCACGACTGGACCCCCCCCAAAAAAAGTCTCTCAGCCTTTCCTGCCCAGGCTGGCTTTGAACCGTGATCCTCAGATCTCAGCCTCCTGAGTAGCTAGGATGACAGGCGTGAGCCACCAGTGCCAGGCAACAATGTTCCTTTCAATAGAAGAGTTAAGGTGCACTTTTTGTAGTCAAACAAGGCGGGTTAACAGAACCTTTAGGAATTCACAAGGAAAAGAATTGCTTCTTGCTGCCAGGCTCCTCTCTCCTCTCTCCAGAAGCTGAGAAGACCCAATTCACACACTCTCTCTACAGAGCGAAATTCGGCCCGCACAGCTCCTCAGAAGCACTGTGAGAAACATCAGCTCTTCCGTGGAGAATGGGAGACAGCAAACTCCACGGTCAGTTTAAGCAATGCTGAGAGTTAATGTATATGCATATGTATTTTCTCACCTCCTGAAAGTTACTCCATATGCAGAAGGTGAATCGGATAGACTCAGTGCGAGCCCTAATTCCACCACGCGCCGGTGGCTCCCGCCTGTCATCCGAAGCCACTCAGGAGGCTGAGATCTGAGGATTGTGGTTCAAAGCCAGCCCCGGCAGGGAGAGTCCATGGATTTCTTTCTTGTTTCTTTTTTTTAGTCAGTCGTGGGGCCTAACCTCTAGCTTTTTCTGTTTATGTAGTACTGAGGAAACGAACCCAGGGCTTCATGCATGAGAGGCAAGCGCTCTACCACTGAGCCACCTTCCCAGCCTCTGAGATTTTTTTTATCTCCAATGAACCACCAATAAACCAGAAGTGTTGCTGTGGCTCAAGTGGTAGAGCACCCGCCTTGAGCTGAAGAGCTGAGGGACAGCGCCCACGTCCAGGGTTCAAGCCCCAGGACCAACCAAAAAAAAAAAAAAAAAGTCCTGATTCTGTTTTAACTAGCAGTAGTGCTTTTAATGCTATTAAGTAATTAAGACATTTTAACTAGCAACAGCGCATTTACTCCTAGGAAGCAATTATGTGGTGGTGGAAATGCTTCACCACAGGGTGAGGCCGGCCCAGCCTCAGCTGGGTGGCGGCAGACAGTGTAGACAATGTCTAACTGCGCGGTTCAGGCCGTGGCTGGGGCATACCTCAGCTGGGAGTTTCTTCAACAGCAGCTTTGAGGTCCTGAGTTCGATTTACAGGAAAGGAGAGAAGGATGAAGGAAAGAAAATGAGGTTAAGTGACTGGAGATAAAAAGGAATCATAAAGAAGGGGCAATATTGCACCATTACGATCAACTGTGTGTGTGTGTGTGTGTGTGTGTGTGTGTGCCCACATGTGCACACACCCCCTGGTCTTAGAGCTTCAGCTCCGAGCCAGGGCCCTGTCCCTGCATTCCCTCACTCAGGGCTGCTGCTCCACCGCTTGACCCACAGCTCTACTCCTGGCTTTCTGGTGTCTGTAAAGTGGAGACCGGTGTCACAGACTCTCCCTTCCTGGGCTGGCTTTGCCGCAGGTTCTCAGATCTCAGCCTCTGGAGCAGCTGGGGTGACCGGGGCCCCGGGGCCACCGGGCCTGGTGACGCATGGAGCCCCTCACACAAACCTGCCGCCCGACCCTGTCCGGGGCTGGCCACAGAGCATCGTCCTCCTTTGTGACCTCACTGTCGTCAATGATTCTCTTCAGCTCCTCCATCACGCTCTTGTGGACGTACGCCTGGAAATGAATTGGGACCCTCTTCAACCGTCTTCCCACACCTCCGCAGGAAGTGGGAGAGAACAATACAAATCTGAACTACACAAAGAGTATCATTTAAAAAAAAACAAACACGCCTGTCCTCCTAGCCACTCAGGAGGCTGAGATCTGAGGATCAAGGTTCGAAGCCAGCCGGGACAGAGGAAAGCCTAAGACTCTTATGCAGAAAACTGGAAGTGGTGCTGTGGCTCAGAGTGGTAGAGCGCTAGCCTTGAGCCGAAGCGCTCAGGGGCAGCGCCCAGGCCCCAGGACTGAGAAAAACAAAAAAGGATTCTGATTCCTTCGGTGCAGGGTCATCTCCTCTGCTGTCCTGGCCTCCGCTGCCACTGGTCCACGCCGTCGCCAGCAGGCAGGTCAGAGACAGGACGGCGGGCGCTGCACTAACCAACGGCCGCTCGGGAAGCAGAGCTCCGCGTTCTTACCTTCTGCCGCCCCCCCCCCAAGCTGCGACCTCTAGGAAAAGGAAAAAGAGCAGCCATTTCCCTTCTCCCGGCACCCAGCCCAGCGTAGGAAATGGCCACGACATCTGTGCTGGCAGACTGCACCAGCTCAGGCCTGCAGTGCTAACGGCTTAGGAGCAGAGACTGGAAGGGTCGAGGTTCAAGGCCAGCTAGGGCAAAAAGTTCACAAGGCCTTCATCTCAACCACAACAACACAGGTCTGTTGTCCCAGGTACACGGGAAATGTGAACAACAAGATCGCACAGGTGTGTGCATCGGTGCCGACCCTATTTGAAAAACAAAGCAAAAAGGGCTGAAAGGCACAGCTCAGGCGTGGAGCACCTGTCTAGCAAGCACAGGGCCCAAGTTTGACTCTGGGACACCAACAGGGGGGGGAAATAAACAACTGCTTATTAATTTTATCAACTGTTTATTTTTGTCAGCCCTGGGGCTTGAACTCAGGGCCTGGGCGCTGTCCCTGAGCTTCTTCTACTCAAGCCTAGTGCTCTACCACTTGAGCCACAGTGCCACTTCTGGCCTTTTCTGTGTCTGTGGTACTGAGGAATCGAACCCAGGGCCTCATGCAGGCTAGGCGAGCGCTCTACCCCTAGCCCACCTGCCCAGGCCTGTTTATTTTTATCACAGAAGTGTTTGCAAAGGAGACTATTTACTGCAAGGAGCAAGTCCTGTCTTAAAGGAGGCAGAGGAAAGCCCTTCCTTTGACAGATGCTCAGACATCTTAGTCACACGACCCAATGTAGTAAACAGGCCAAACCTCATGGCACTCTGGACCCAAGAGATAATGCAGCATGACAGAGGACCCGAGGGACCGAGTATCCAGGACACAGGGGTGGAAAGTCCTGGCACAGCTACAGAGGCCAACTCCCCGGCCTCTGTGACCACAGAGCCCAGACTGCACCTGCTGGCACATGCCCCCCCCCCCCCCCCCCCCCCCCCCCCCCCCCCCCCCCCCCCCCCCCCCCCCCCCGCCCCGCCACACGTGTGGGGTGTATACCAGCTCTGCTAAGCGTTGCTTTACTAATACAATGAATAAACTCAAACATGAACTCAATAATACAGGCAAATATATTCAGGTTGCTTCTTTTGCTGTTAATATCTAATTGAAATGGAACCTTTTTTAATCTGTAGATTGGTTGTTTTTTTTTTAAAATACCGCCATAAAGAAACTTTGATGAATTTGACACAGACACAAGGAAACTGAAATGTAAAAATTATTTTTTTTTTGAGCTGGTACTAAGGCTTGAACTCGGGACCTGGGACGCTGGTACTACGGCTTGAACTCGGGACCTGGGCATGGTACTAAGGCTTGAACTCGGGACCTAGGCGTGGTACTAAGGCTTGAACTCGGGACCTGGGCATGGTCCATTAGCTTTTTCTTCTCAAGGCCAGGCACTACCGCTCGAACCGCAACCTCACTTCTAGCTTTTTGCTGGTTAATTGCCGATAAGAGTCTCATGGACCTGTCTTGGACTGGCTTGGAATCCTGGTCCTCAGATCTCAGCCTCCTGAGTAGCTAGGATGACAGGCGTGAGCCACAGTGCCCTGCTTGAAATATAAAAAATCTGGCATCCGAAAGTCACTTACCTCCTTTCTGATCATGACGTCATTTTTGTAATTGCTGTTGTTGGCATATCTAAGCTTTCCTGTGGGGGCGGGGGCAGAAAACAATTATCTTTAGCAATAACAACGGTTACAAAATAAAATTAACAATGCAGGCAATGTTAAAGGTAAAGAGCATTTTTATACTACCACTCTCACCAATAGTTCCTCTTAGCACAGCATTAATACTGAACACCAGTAACTTGGTAGATACTGGCTAGTAAGTTAAAGTCCAGCTACCCAATATGCAATGGAACAGCATCATGCCATGAGCCTTTTGGGGAGTATGTGGGGGGGAATCTCTGGGGTTTTTTGTTTTGGCAATATGAAGACTTGAACTCTGAACCTCAAACTTCCTAGGCAAGCAGTCTCCCTGCTTGCTTTTCTTTTTTCTTTTTATTCCTCCAGATAATCCTCCTATTTCTCCGAAGCTGCCCATACAGGCACACCCAACCACACCTGGCTTATTTCTGAGACAGGGTCTTACTGTCTCAGAAACAGTTCTAAGGCTAGCCTCAAACCTGCATCCTTCTGTCTTTGAGTCCTGCGTAGCTGGGATGACAAGCATGCATAAACGCACCTGGCTTCTAACGGGTCCTCGCCAGGGCTGGCTTCATAAGCCATACCACTTTCTCCAAAACACGTAATCTGAAAATAACTCTAAAAAGCAGTTCTATTCTCTCACTTATTCTGCAGTCACATGAGTCTACGATCTGGTCTTACTTTCCTCCGATACTCATGCTTTCTCCCCTACATCAAAATTTTCTCTCATTTTCCTTTAAGTTCATGTATAATTACCGTGTTTATTTTTATTAGCAGATGGTCACTGAACAAAAGGGTTTCACTGGGGTGTTTCCACACATGCAGATAATCTACTCCAATCAGACTCACCTCTTTTATTCCTTATCTTTCTCCCCCCTTTAAAAAAATACTTTTTTTGGTTAGTTATGGGGCTTAAACCCAGGGCCTAGGCGGTCCCGAAGCTCATTTGCTCAAAGCTAGTGCTCTACCACTTTAAGCCACAATACCAACTCCAGTTTTCTGGTGGTTCATTGGAGATACGAGTCTCACACGCTTTCCTGTCTGGGCTGGCTTTGAACCTGGATCCTCAGATCTCAGCCTCCTGAGTGGCTGGCATGGCAGGTGTGGGCCCCCTGCTAGACAGCTCTCACATTCTAGTTTCACACATGTGTCAAGTACTTCATCATATTCGCCCCCCCCCACTCTTTTTCTTCCCCACCTCCAGCAGGTCCGTCCCCACCCACTGGTGATGCTTCCTTTCTAGAACTAGGAAGCATAGGAACTAGGTGCTGCTTCGGGGGGGAAGTTCCGTTGTTAATTGATTTCCATCCTTTGTGACTTGTGTACTCACTGGTGCATGCTTCTCTACAGGGAAACAGCAAAGCTACGCTCCCCATCCTGTAAATGGAATATGTGTTCTGGAAGTGTAGTTTCTGTGGCTCGGTATTACCAGAAGAAGCAGAATAGAAGTAGTGGCAGGTAGGTGAAAATGCACCAGTCACTTGGGGGTTCTTCATTTAAGTGACTGGCTACATTGATATGGACAGGCTATATGATTCCTAGCTACTCAGGAGGCTGAGATCTGAGGATCGAAGTTCGTTGCCAGCCAAGGCAGAAAAGTCCATGAGATGCCTTATTTCCAAGTAACTAGCAAAAAGCCAGCAGAAAGCAGGTGTGGACCCAGTAGCAGACCACTAGACTTTGAGTGAAAAAAGTAAGTGCTCCAGGCACTAAATTTGAGCACTATTACTGACAAAGACAGAGGAAAAAAAAAATGCTTGACACTTTTTTAGTATACAATTCCTAATTTTTCATTCATACTCTCATAGAACCTTGCTGAAGCATGCACAGAGCTCTTCCTAGGTAAGCTGTTATGGCTGTACTTCCTGCCAGCTTTAACCCACCTAACCTGAATGAGAGAAGGATTCCGCTTTCATATTTACACCAGTACTCAAGCACATTGAAAACCCCCAAATCTCTACTGCCAGGCTGTCATCATGGCAGCTAGAATTCAATATACAGGAACATTCTCTAGAGAAAATGTTCTGTCAGAATGCAGAACTGCTACTGACAATTCAAGCCCACTTTTCCTTCCCTCAGACAGCAAGAAATTCGCTCTTACTTCAAAGCTCATCACAAGTGTCTCCTTTAGAAGTTTTTCTCTCCTCCATTTAGGGAGGGGGGAGAGGGGAACTGTTCATTTATTCTATGGTCAATAATCATATTTTGGCACCTCAAACACACTAGTTCTTTGTTTACACATCAGACTTTCCCCCCGATTAAGTAGCCTTAACACATACACCTGAATGAAAGGATGGTAGATGGACTTAAAGGCACCCCATGATTTTCAAGAATAATGAATGAGGGGCTGGGCAGGTGGCTCAGTGGTAGAGCACTTGCCTTGCATGCCTGAGGCCCTGGGTTCGATTCCTCAGCACCCCATAAGCAAAAAAAGCCGGAAGTGGCGCTGTGACTCAAGTGGTAGAGCGCTAGCCTTGAGCTGAAGAGCTGAGGGACAGCGCCCAGGCCCAGAGTTCAGGTCCCACAACCGACAAAAAAAATAATAATAATAATGAATGAATGGATGGATGGACTAAAACACTGCCAAAAGCGTTTGAGTGAATGAATGAATGAACTAAAAGATGACCCCAAGAGTTCAAGAATGAATGGGCCAAACGATAACGCAGATTGTCTAAGGAATGAATGAGATGACCTGATAATTTCAAGAGGGAATGATCTGTAAGCTAGTCCGAAGACATAATGAATGAATGAATGAATGGGGTCCAGAGACTTTATGAATGAGCTGAAAGTCCAAAAGTTGATGAATGAAGTTGGTCCAAAGACTCTGAATGAATGAGCTGAAAGTTAATCCAAAGAGTTGATGAATGAATGAATGAAGGTGGCCCAAGACTTTGTGAATGAATGAATGAAGGTGGCCCAAGACTTTGTGAATGAATGAATGAAGGTGGCCCAA